TCTGAGGCCAGACTTCTCCTGCTCATTCACAAGAGGTCTAAGATTGGCATCTGCCAAACAGTTTCCCAATTGACCCTGAAGTTCTGTAACTCTTACCCTCACCATTTTTTTAGCCCTCATGTCCTTTTCAACCTTTTCTCCTCTAATGAAACTGTTCATCAGTTCTCTAGCACGAGGCCATGCATACAGAAAGATGACCCACAACCTGGCATTATACAAGTGAGATATTACTAAAAGACGCGAGATTTAGTTTGAAATGCTCTGTAACATTCAGCTGAAGTACAGAGAACTGCAATTTTAGAATGTAATATAGTTACAATCTGTTAATCTGCGCTGCAAACTGGTCTCACTGTAAAGCCGCTTTGCACACAAAGTGCTATTGCTACCACTAGATGTCAGTTTTACACACTCAAAAATGGCCAATTCCCTTAAAAATTATAATTCTCCATTCACAATAGAAACAGCTCTCTACTACGTCACTCTTTCTGAACTGACCTTTAATTTGAAATATCTCACATTTTATTTACCTTCTCTCCACTTCTTCCCAGCCCCTTGGGGAATAGTTCTCCCTTATTAAAGAAAAAAAAATCCATTATGCATTTATTTCATTATTTACTCAGTCTGAGACACCGGCAGGTTTTGCCAGATATCACTGACAAAAGTCTATATCTCAGGTTGTGTCTCTAGAGGCCAGCACTGAAATTTTACTTTTGTTCCCCAGAGATATTTTTATATTCCATAAGGACACTTCTACTAAGAAATACCATTACATTTTTTTACTAAGAAATGCCAAATTACAGATAGGCTGCCATGCCAGTTAGTAAGATATATCATTGATATGGCTTATTAAATTTTATGATTTTTCAGATTTTTACTTATATTGACTGCCTAAATGCAGATAGATTTTATTATACTTCAAATCTCTGTCTCTCAAGAGACAAAAATGTAGCTGTACACTCCTCCTAATCTCCCACAAGGGCTCTTTACAGGTGTTTTTCCTAAGAACAGTTTTCATTAGCTAGTCTTGACATCAACTTCGTCATACTAAATACAGAACTTCTATATTATGCATTTACTTCATCAAAAAATGGAATTGCTTTTTGTCAAGTAAATCTGTCTTTACTTTCTTCCCCAAAGAAAATCATTGATGAAAATTGGAAGTAAAATTCATTATACATTATTATATTCAAATATATGTACACACCACAAAAAGCAACAAACATCTCCAAAGCTGTCCATGCTCAGAACTCGCAAAGTTACAGAATGTAGCTCTGAATTTTTATAAAATAATGACAAGACTGTCACCTTACATTAAGCTGTACTGCCCAGATATTGACACTTTGGCTAGCAACACACTATGTTTGTTTATCATAATGTCAAAAGAAACCCGCACCCTCATTCACATCAAAATCTGACATTTTCAAGCTCCTACTGATCCCTCACAGCTCTCCTGGATTGCTCAAGGTATTCTTTGCACCTGCAGCCATAACCATCTCATACAAGTGCTTGCCTAACAGAAAGGGATGGAAAGCAAGGAAGGGGAAAGATGTACTTCAATGAACTTCAAAACAGAGTTGAAAACACCGTATCATGCAATCAACCCTATCAACAACCTTTTCCAAAGACATCTGAAAACCTTTTTTAGGCAGCAACTCCATTGAAACCATCTCTTTGCACAATCTCAGCAATGTAAAAGCATGGCAAAAAATCTCCAAGGCAAACATAGAATCCAAAACACATCCAGTCCCACAGCTGCTGACAGCAATGTTCATGACTTAGAGAAGTGCCCTGTCTGGGGCAGACGAGGGTGTTGTATATGCTACATATTGTGCTGCAACATTCTGCCCCATTCCCTTTGCCTTCCTACCACGCACTCACCATCCCTTATCCACCTACCAGGCATCCCCAGGACTGCAAAATGCCCTAAATCCCACCCAGCCACGGCAAGTGAGCACCCACATCCACATTGCTCCCTGCACAGAAGCAGAGCACCTCACACGTGCCAAACTGCTCTGTGTGCCCTGCACAGTCCATGGGCATGAGTCAGTCTAAAGTTCTCCAGCTGAAAATTCATAAAACCCATTTGTGCACCCACAGCTGCAGACTGTACAGATCATACCTGCTCTCTGCTTTTGCTGCAAGGCATCTCCTTTGCCAGCACCCATAGGAGCAGGCAGCTACAGCAGGATGGGCTCAGGGCCAAGACATACTTCTGCAAGTAAAGGAGCAAAGACACACCTCAGACACTTGCACTACTACAGCATTTTTCTTGCTCTAGGATGCTATCTGCAGAACAAAGCTGGTTGGCTTGATCTGCAAGCTAAGAATTTTGGTGACTCTGAGCTATGAATTGAGTGAGTTAGTAAGAAAGTTGATATTGGGTGAATGAAGCAGCCAATAGAAATGAGGAAATCAACAGCAGGCTAGAAGAGTACAGATTTTTTTATATGCTTTCTAAATTGTGCACTAATATAAAACTGTAGACATAAAAGTCAAAACAAACATACCAAACAATAAACCAAACACACAAAAAAACCCAACCAAACAAAAAAACCAACCAAAAAAAAAAAAAAAAACCCTTAAGAACAATCTGTCCCTTTATTTCCTCATTGTATATTTGGTAACTCAAATTCCTCCAGGAAAGAAACTACTTTAACTTCTTCTTTATCACACATACTCATTTGCAACTTATTCCATTCATGCCAATATGAATCACTAACAATGTGTATCATAAGCAACAACAGAAGCAATGGTTAATTAAAACCTGCAAGCATTAGTCATCTTCCTACAGAAGTTACCATGTAATTTCAAAAGTGTTGAGGTTTGCAAGATATTTTTGTACTCTTTCCTAGGACCACAATTCTGCTGCTAAAGAGCAGCAGCAGCTCTTAGTTCCAATTAATCATGCATTTTACTTAAGAAGAAGGATAGAAAAAAAAGCTTTCAGCTGGACCCACAGATATCAATCATCTCAAAATTCAGTGAGAAACATAGCTTGATCCCCTCATTGAAGATTGTCCCGGGGAGGAGAAATAGGTTAAAACTCTCTCAATAAAATATTCCCCAATAAAGGAATCATTTAGATCCATTGCTTCCTTCTCTACCAAGCTCCATTGCAAGTTTAAAAAGTGCCTGGTCTGACCATACACACAGCGCTTGCCTGCGTGGAAAGGCAGCTGTGCTTAGGCAGCACATTGCAGCAAACAGCATCTTGGAAGGACTGAAAGTTATACAAGGTATTTCTCTGAAATCACCAAGCCATTATACCCTGGCGATCTTTATACGAACAAGTAAAGGTTGAAATACTCTATTTTGCAAAGAAAAGGGAGTGAACAAGAATCAAATCCTTGCAACAAAAAGCATAGCTGCCTCCTCTGTCTTACTCACAAAGTGCAAGAGGAGGTGAGGAAATGGCCCTACTGCTGCTGCTGGTCATTGATATGCAGAGGCAATTGAGTGAGTCACCACCACAGCTGATGAAGCCAAAGGAGCCCAGATGGGCTGCTATAGCAATCACACAGTTCAATGCAGTTTTAAATTTCCTCAGGAATTTGGTGATTTCTAGATCTGCTGGATCATCTGCTAATTATCATACCCACTACATGTAGATATGCAGCTGCTTTTTGTTACAGTTTAATTACAGGCTAAGTATTAAACGTAGGGTCTTCTCTACTGTCTGAAATGGCATATTTTCACACCAAATATGTCAAAGAAATGCAGAGATTAGCTGGGATTGAAATACAGACTGAGGAAATATGCTTTCTCTGAGAACGTGTATGTCCTCCACTTGATCTTCTCTCATACACTTATTAGTGTCTCCACTTGTATGCCTGATACAAACCCACCTATCATGCTGATGAGATGGTGAGAGAAAAGGCAAAATAGTTTGGTTTGGGACTGATGGCTGGGACATTATTCAGAAAAAACAGATCTGGGCAAACATCAGTCATACCACAGAGAATTCAGTATCACTGTGTCCACTGGAAAGTATCTCTTTCAGAGATTTCACATCCACCATAGATACACCTAGAAGTGTCAGGAAATACACAAGTTAATTTGCTCTTCCCAACACAAAAACAGATGGAGGGTTAGAATTGCATCTACTAAATGGACATGTTTTCAGCCTGACCTATCCTCTGCTGAAATCCATGCTGAAAAGGGGCATTTTAGCATTAGGCTTGTGGACCGAAAACACACAATCCCACCCTTGGTCTCAGTACAATCCAGAGACTGTACTGGAAATTTTGCACTAAAGAAAAACCCATTGATAAAAAAAAATGTTTTATTTAGACTAACTTAAAACTCTGACTTGAGAGGTTTGCCTGCAATCTGTGCACTAGCTTGAACATCTAAAGTACTGCATGAACTCCTTGTTCACATTGAGATGAAACTATTGAACTACACAAACTATTGAAATCATTTGGGGAAACTCTTTCCAGTACCTGCATTAGCTAGTTCAGCACTAGAATGGGCACTTTATGTGCCAAGGCAGCACACAACAAATTCTACTTCTTTTTCATCACCAGCTTTTCATGGGTTGAGAAGTCATGCAGAACTTTAGAACAAGAACAGAGCAAACATGAGGTTAATAATATTCCACCCAGTTAAAGTATCTTCCACTCAGCCATTGTTACACTAATCTGCTGATTTGAGTGAAAAAAATACAAAGAAATTCTGTGATGAAGAGACCATATTAAATGGCTTGCTTATCACTTCTTGAATGATTCATTAACCAGCCTGATTTAATCTACCACATGCCTGGTAAAATTCCAGTTTAGTAATGTAGTCTGTGATACCAGCTTTCTAGAAATGTTACAACAGGCTAATAACAAAAAGTTAAGCATTAACCAAGATGAGACAAGCACAAAGCTACAAAACTAAAAACTGTTTTTTCAGGTCTTTCCTTCATTCACTTTTTAAAATATCATTTCACTTCTTGAATTGCTCTTGATTAAAATGATCTTCATTTAAACTATGAAATGTGTTTTCTCTCTTTTCAGAATGCATCAGAACATTGGCTGAGCAGATTCAAAACAATGCACCAGCCGTAAGTGTCTCATTATTTTCCACTTTCCCACTGAATGACTAATACACTTCTACTCTGACAGTTGCTCTGTTAATAAATCAGGAAAAATGAGAACTGAAACCTCCTGCTCACGTGAACTTTAACATTCATTGACGGGGGTGGGACTTCCTCAGGATTAGGATCCTGGAATGTTTACAAGAGCTGTGGTTCAGATCAGCTGACAGGAAAGTCTCTTCTGCACCAGATGCTGGATGTTATTCTTCCTCAGAGCAGAAAGAGACAACCATAATATTAGTAAAAGTACAAGATCAACTTATTCCATAACAGAAAGGCTCTTTGCTTGTATTGTATTTGAGGTCAAATTTTCAGAATTGGTTTATCTGCTACTGAGAGATTAATTTAAATGATCAGTTTAACAAAGTGCTATGTTGAAAGTAATTTAAATAGAATTTAAATACAGTACTGAATAAGCAAATATAGATATAACAGTTGAGAAATGCCTTCATATAACTTGTGACAAATCAAATGAATGGACTTTCTTGCAAAGTGCTTTAGTCTAACAGGACATCATTTTGAGAGAAAATGTAGAGAGAATTAATATAAAGTCAACCAAGGATACATTTTCTGTTTCTAACATACATCAATCTGATCTGCTACAATATTGGGGCAAACAAATATATTGAACTTAGGCCAAGAGTTGCATTTCTATTCATGTGAGCATTCAAGCTTTGAATCCTCAAATTATATATTGGAATAATAAAAGTGTTTTGCCATATGAATTCTGTTGTCAAAAACATTAAAATTCCTTAAATTCACAGTTTTTATGTCATATCCTTAGTACCAACTTCCAATCTAAAATCTGTTACTCTTGCACTGTACTACTTGCTATTGCAAAATCTGCCTGAGTTTCCAGCACTCCCAGTTTAACTGGAGACATGGAGTCTACACTGATCCACCTAAGACAGATCAGCTGGCCTGTTCCAGCATGTTCATACACAGGTAGTATCCAATGGACCAAAACACTGAGGACAGATAAACAGAAAATTAATAATTGCCAGACACAGTGAGACTGAAATCCTGTGTTTCTCCTGGCAGTGGCCAGGGCTTCAGGTCTCTGCCTTTATGAAAGTTTCTTCATGAGGCTTCATCAGGCAGGAGTTAAGCGCTCTGACCACCAGCAAAAGCTCTTTGCCTTTCCCATTCTAGTTCAACACTTGATATTCTTGTTTTCCACAAGATTTTGAGTCCACAAGGCTGTAAGTGCTCTTTGAGTTAAAACACAGAGTTATTCCCCATTCTGCTGGGCCATCTCATGACAGGGGTACCAGGAGCAATCTGCAGCCATGCTTAGGTGTGCTTCCTTGCCCTCTGCACCAAACACCTCCACCAACTTAATGCAAGGCTCTTTTCCCTCCAGCCAGTACCGTGCCTGTTCTCTATGGGGAAAAAATTGTCTAGGCAAAAAAGACAAAATGGGTTATCTGGAAAGAGTTTATCATAGTAATTCTGTTTTGATACCCTTAAGTAAACTTTTTTTGCACTGCACTTCTCATGAAGTCTCTTACTATATTCTTTTGGGTTTACTGTGTCAATATTGGCTTTGACAGTCTAATGACAGCCCCATATAAACTAGTTCCCACCTACACTTAAAGCCACAGGTCTACCTAGATAGTTTCTGAGCAACTACTAGATGTTCAAGTGAAATTACCAAGGTGCAGCCTCTACTAGTGTCTTGCCCTACGTCTGAAATTCAATAATAAAAGATTTTCCTCCCCACTTGCTAAACAGCACCAGAAGAGAGGTGCTGCTTTAAAACACAGGACAGCAGAGTACTGAGTCACTAGTCCAAACCCTCTCTGGAGCTGCCAGGATTGTGCAACAAACTGCTCTCACAGGTTTACATGTTTGCAGCAATCCCAACAGCATGTTGAAATCTCAAGCTTTGCTTAAAGCCTTTCCTCCTGCACAAGCATCATTGTATTTTTCACTCCACACAGCAGACTCAGTTGATAAACTCTCACCCTGAAAGCCTGAGATCACCCAAAACACTGAATTAGTTCACTCTCAAGAATGCCAGTACAACTGCACTTGCCAGATACTTCCCCTGAGAGCAGTTTCAAACATCCCACTGACTCCAGTCCTGGGCTCCTTCAGTCAGTGCTAACATTTCTGCCAGGGAGAACACTATACAGAACACCAAGCTACATTCAGGAGCACTTTTTAAGAGAGTGCAGGTACCATAATCAACCTCATACCACAGATACACAAGAATCCTGGAACTCAAGGCCCTTCCAAACACACTGTCTTGCTGTGCAAATAAGATTGGTACTTATAACTGTACCCAGCAAAACCCAGCATAGAGGCTATAACTCAATTACAAACATCCAAAATTTGGAAACGCATCTCAAGAAAGAAATGTAATTACAGCTTCATCACCTCAGTGTAGATATTCCAAGACTTACAGTATCAGATATTTATGCAGAAGTTTTTTCATAATGCTTTCAGCTTACCCAAGTTTCATTTTCCCAGGGACCGTGAAATTAAAATGCTGCCTTTATAGCTAATGTGATTAGAAATTCATCCCAGATCAAACTCAGAATGAATTTTGCTCTCAGCTCAGGAGCTCTGGGGGCTACTTTACAAAATCAGGATTGAAATGTTTCATCACAAAATCAGTACTTTCTATCACATGCTTATTCAGAAGCCTGTTCTGGCTGTGACAGATTGCCAGGTAAATGAGAAATTCTCACCTGCAAATCAGGTCTGAGGTGTCAACTCTTGAGTTTACCATTTGTATATAGCAACATGCAGTTATGGAAGATCCTGAGTAATAAGTGAGCTGAGTTGCAGAACACATAATTACAAGTTCCGTGTAATTATGGTGTGGGCAGCATTTGATCTTCTTTGCTTGAAATAAACATCTATCAATTTTCACTTCTGTGAAAAATGTTAATACTTTATTCCACCAGGAATTTATAACATATGCAGAAAAATTAGCTGTTCTTAAATCATGTAAGTATTCTATAATTGATTTCTAGATGAGTTTCTAACATCTTTTTTTATTTGATTTCATCATAATTTTAAGGACTCCAAACTGAAATTTTCCATCCTTGCCTTCCAAGAATAGGCAATGTCTTTTCCTGAATCATATGAATAAATTCTCAATTGTAAGAGCTGTTACATACCAGGAAAGTACCTTTGTAATGCTGAGGTGTTCCACTTGAGACGTCTGAACTTGCATAGTTCAAACTACAAGACCTAGAAATGTTACACATTAACATATTTTTCTGTTCTCCCCTCTCCACTCACATTTTTTCTTTTATTTCTTTATTAGGAAGGTAAACAATGTGGAAAATTCATTTTTCAGCTTTTACACAGACAGCAACACTTACATACACTTAACCAAAGACAATTCCTAACAAAAATATTAATAAAATTAACGAGATTTCTATGACAACTAGGGTGTTTCCTAAAAAAAAAAAAAATAAAGAGCTTTTGCAGTCTCTTTAAGCAAGATCCAGCAGTACAGACATCTTGTCTTGTTCAGACAATCTGGATTTGGACTTTCCCCACTCCATAGAAAGCTTGGAGCTGAAAAACAAAGGCAGTAGATGACTTCTATTCCAATACTTAGTAAGCAGGAAAGATTTTCCCCTACCCTTGGGATTTACCATAATGTTTTCTTATTATGCTGTATCCTCCAAATACCAGTCCTGACTGAGGCTGAATGTTTTATGTCTAAATGCATAGATTTAGTTCTTGCTTTCCTTAGGTTTTGTTGTAGCTTAAATGCCACTAAAAAACCTCCACTTATTCCCAAAACTGGAAAAGACCATGACTGGAACTTCAGAAAATACCTCTTTATACAGCAAGATCTCCCAATAAAAAAATGATACCTAAAAGGGACCAGAACAGGTTTCCAATACATAACTCTAGTGTCACATGCTATAAACATACTATAGGACACTATAAACATTCCAAAGAAAAAAAGAGTACCTGAATTTTACCCCAAATCCCATTTTTATGCATTATCTATAGTCATTTTTAGCATAGAAAGTCTATGAGAAAAGTCTACCCAGGCATCAAATACAGAAGCATCCATTGCCTGAAGATTAGAATGAATTCTGGATATTCTCCTGTTCACAGGAGGATCTAGGACATTTTTGTTCAGCAAAGTAGTGCCATCCTGCCCTCTTTTACTGCAGCAGAAAATATTACACTTCTGCAGCAGAAAGGAGGCAACAGACACTTTCACTGCAGCAGTGCCTCTTCCATCCTGCCATGGGCAATGGAGACCTTTGCAATGACACCAGTTACTCAAGGATGAGGAGAGGCCCCCTCAACTAAGGAACGTAAAGATGTGGCTAGAAACTACATTTGGCAGAACTTATAGAGAGAAAACAGGTATCTGTATACAAAAATAATTGGAATTCACTGGAGAATGTAATTCAATCTCTGAAAAAGATACGAGAAATAGCAAAACAGTTCTCTCAAAAGTTTAAAATATACAAAAATGCACAAAATATACAAATTTGTATTCTCTGATGAAGTCCTGACATGCAGATATTTCCTGGGGTCTTCCTACTTTTCAAAGAGCAGAGGAGGCAGTTCAGCTGTTACTGTGCTACAGTACTGCAGGTGTGGTTAAAGTGGGAACAAACCTGGCAGTCTTTAATTCCTGTGGTTCTGTACTGTATTCCTACCCCTGGGCTGAGCAGAAAGAATATATAACAAAAGGTTTGCTTTAGGCACATAACACTGTTAGACTAAACTATTACCATTGTAATTTTGAGAAAGGCCTCAGGGTTAAGATACATTGTCAGCGTTGGAGGGATTTTTTCTGTTTTCTTGAAAATTGCATCAGGAAATAAATTAATTTAGTCCCTTCTTATTGAAAATAGTCCCATTCTCAAACAGTTTAAATCCCAGTTGATATTATCTGGACATCACCAAAGAACTGATAAAGCATGAAGATGTCAGAGAAAATCCCAAATTATCTTCCCAACACCCTTGATGCCATG